TTCTCAGAGAGCATTTATTATATTGATGGACAGAGCAGCCACAGCCCTGGGCCTCGCCTACATGGCCTGGGGTCCTGGAAAATGGGTCACCCCCATCTCACGGCACGGGGTCCACTCTGAGAACACCCCTGAGGAAGAATGGGTACTTCTCGCATTGAGCTGCCTCCTGGGGCCAGGCGTCCTGGGGGTGGACCAGAACTTGGCTGAGATCAGCCACTGCAAGCTCTGGAGAGGCAGACGTGAGCTCTCGCAGTCTGAGGCTCAGGTGGAGGTGGTGTCCTCTGTGGGCAGGGCTGGCACGTCCAGCTCCGAGCCCCTTGGGCAGGCAGTCCACTGCACCCTTGTGGCTGGAGATGCCCCGAGCTAGGACAGGAGCTGTAGCACCTGGCGGAGGCGGTGGGCCTGTCCTAGCAGGAGGGGGTCCTGGCCGTCGGTGGCCCCCTCACCCAACGCCTGCATCTGGGCCTCAGCCTTCTGCACTGTCAGCTCTCGAGCTTGGCCCTTCAGCCCCTCCAGGTAGGCCAGCAGAGTGGGGAAGTGCTCATCTGGGACCTTGTCGGGATTGTACATGTGGACCAGGAGCCACGTCTGTCTCGTCTTCTGGAACTTCCAGTCCTGGCGCTTCTGGGCCCAACCACAGAGGTAGTCGAGGGCCAGTGTGGCCCCTGAAGACGGTGGTGTGGGGTCAGTGGGGATCCGTGGAGCAGGGGTCTTCCGGGCAGGACAGCTCCCCGCTTCCTGCAGACGGCGCTTCTCTTCCTTCTTCCGTTCCTTCTTCAACTTCCGCTCCAGGGCCCGCTGCTCCTCGGTGGACAGGGAAGGTGCTGGGCTGGCCTCAGAGCTCCGCCTGACGTCCCGGGCCAGCCGAACCCGCCCGCAGCCCCCTGTTTGTTCTTTTGACAGTACATGGGATATTCACTACTCTTCTCTAATACCACAGCTCAAATGCTTCAATTCTTCTCCTATCCTTATTTATTATTCAGCTCTCAGATACATAACAGGTGATTGGAAAAGCTGTGGCTTGAATCAGGCACACCTTGTTGTTGTTGTTACACACCATCGAGTCGCTTGTGACTCATGGCGACCCTATGTACAAGAGCCCTAAACGCCATTCTATCCTGTGCCAAACTCGCCGTCTCAAACACGTTCATTCCCACCACTCTACTCCCAGAATCGAGCCATCTCATTGAGGGTCTTTCTCTCTGGCACCGCCCCTCCACTCTCCCAAACATGATGTCCCTCTCCAAGGCCGGTCCCTCCTTGCAACATGCCCAAAGTATGTCAGACAAAGTTTCAGAATCCTTGACTCCAAGAAGCATTCGGGCTTCACCCTCTCCAGGACAAACCTGTTTGTTCTCCTGGCAGTTCATGGTATATTCAATACTCTTCTCCAGCACCACAGCTCAAAGGCATCAATTCTCTTTCTACCATCCCTATTCACTGTCCAACTCTCTGATGCATAGTACACAATTGCAAAGACCATAGCCTGGATCAGGCACACCTTAGTCTCCAGCCTGACATTGTTGCTCTTCAGTACTCTTGAGAGGTCCCTTACAGCTGACTTTCCCAATACAATTCGTCTCCTGGTTTCCTGGCTGCTGTTACCAAGAGTGTTGACTGTGGAACCAAGTAAACTAAAACTGTTAACTATCTCAATCTCTTCACTATCTGTACTTAGTGTTAAAAATTACAACATTGCTCTTCAGGACGTTGGAGAGATCTCTGACTTTCCCAGTGCTACCCATCTCTTGCTCTCCCTATGAACAATGTTGGGGCTGAGACAGATGTTTTTGCTAATCTCTAATCTCTATCATCTTTGAACAGAATGAATCTCTGATTTGGTCTGAGCCATGGAGCACCCCTATCTCAAACAATCTACTGCCATCAAGTGGATTACAACTCACAACAATCCTAGAGGGATGAGAATTGCTTATAGGGTTTCCAGGAGTATAAATGTTTTTCTAAGTAAATTACTACATCTTTCCCCATCTGAGTAATTGCTGGGTTCAAACAGCAGATTGTTCAGTTAGTGGTCAAATGCTATAACTAAGGCATCACCAGCGTTTCTATGGAGTGAAACGAGTGGGGTAAGAAGCCGGGGGTCACTTCAGTGTTGACATATATTGTAGGTAACAAGCCACTTCTCATCCATCTTCATAGCCCAGCCAAATACCCAGGAGAAAATCTACCAAGTTACAATGCTTGGTGAAAGATATCTCTAAAGATAAAAAAGATCATTTTAAAATCTTATTTATCTTTTTTTAAAAACCACAAAAAAATTAGAAGTTTTCTAATCCGATCTAGATTTCTAGATCATTCCAATATCTGAAAATATTTTTATTTTAATTTTACTAAATAATTGAGATATTTAATCTCCTCGTCAAATATATGCATAGATAAGTTTGTATGCCTCCTTATTAAATTACTCAGGGAGAAATTATTTACTGTGAAAGATTTTGTCACATCCTTCCAAGATCCAAACCATTTCTTTAGTCCTGTGCCATCAGTTATTACATAAGAAAACCACTCCAAATTTCCAAATATCAACTCAAACTCATTGCCCTTTAGTCAGTTCCAACTTATAAGAACCCTCTTTTGGATTTCCAAAGCTATTAATTTTAACAAAAGATTGCCTTTCTCTTGCATTCTAGTTAGTTTGAATGGTCAGCGTTTCAGTTATCAGCCCAACATTTAAACCATCAACGCTCCTCTCTCAAAACTAAGTGTTGTAAAAAGTCATTCTGCCCACAGATTCTTTGGATTCAGAATTGAGTAAGGCACAGACGCTGATCTCTCCTCCATGATGCCTGTGATCTCAGTTGTAAAGTCCCAAAGGTTAGGAGATACCTGAGCACCTTCATCCCTATGTGGTTTTTGAGCTGGTGGTCTGTGGTCCCCAACTGGGGCTATTGACTGGAACACCAGCCATGGCTTCCCTGTGTGACCTGGGCTTCCTCATAGTCAGATGACCCTGGGTCGTCAAACTTTCCACATGAAGGTTCAGCCTTCCAAAACAAGAGTCCCAACAGGCATCATTTCTTCTTAAGATCTTGCCTCAGAAATTAAGCATCACATCCATTGTAATCTATTGGTTAAAAGCAAGTCCCTTCGTGTGTGTTAGTGCTACTATAACAGAAGTATCACAAGTACAGGTGTTGAAAGATCAGGAATTTATTTTCTCTCAGTTCAGGAGACTTTAGTTGTGGTTCGTGCCTGAGTAAACACCATTACATAGTGACCCTATTAATAACAAATGGAAACTGCCCTATCCTGAGCCATTGTCACAGGATATCTGTGATACAGTGACTGCAACAATGCAGTCACTATTTCTATTTCATTGAGAGTCTTCCTCTCTTTCACTGACCCTCTACTTTTTTAAGTCTGATATCTTTTTCTAATGACCAGAACCTCTTGATAACATGCCCAAAATAAAAGTCCAAATTCAGAGCATTGGCTCTGGGAGGTAACTCTTTGCATCAGCTCTGGGAGAATTTACATGTTTCAAATGGTGTGCTTCTCAGACCCTTGGCAATTTCCCCATGGTCTCTATCTTTCCCTCAGTTCAGCTTCCTTGATTATGTGTCTAATCTACTCTGTTATAATTCAGAAATGACTCCTTTGGAGGGCACATCCTACACTGGTTTGGCCTCATTACCATAACAAAGAAGACCCTCCTCTCTCCAATGGAATTACATCCACAAGTCTAGAAGTTACAATTCCAAAGATATTTTGGAGAAACACTGTACAATGCCTATCAGTAAACTTGGCCTCAAGTCAAGGAGGAGGATTTTAATGGGGGGAAAAAAGTCAAAGAATTTGCAGATATGTCTTAAAACTGCTACAACTTCTTTCTGTTTAGTTTCTCTCTAAATCTTCTCTTTTATGTCTGTTTATTTTTTCCTTTCTTCTTTTCCTTCAAGACAGTGGCTTCTTCGAATTTCAGTTCCAAATAAGTTACAGGCAAACCTCAGAGGTATTTTAAGTTCAGTTCCAGGCCACTGCAATAAAGTCAGCGTCACAATACAGCAAGTCAATGAGTTGATTTGTTTTGTTTTGGTTTGCAGAGCACATAAAAGTTATGTTTATACCATGCTGCATTCTATTAAATGTACAACAGCATTGTGAAGATGTTGGAAGTATAATGACAATTACTAAAATGTGACACCAAGCCATGTATGACACGAACACAAGCTATTGGGAAAATGGCACCAATAGACTTTCTGAGCACAGGCCTGCCATAAACCTCAGTTTTGAAGACTTAAAGTATCAGCAAGGGCAAAATAATGAAATATGCCTGTAGTTATTAATTTTGCACACATACCTTGAGCACTGGTCCAAGGAGTCTTGGGCCCACAGAGGTTTAGTTGGATCCTGAAACCTTTGTAGAGTTCTTCTTTCAAACAGGAATTCATCTACATGCCAGAGCTTGGCTGAGTTGCTATGGGCAACTTTCAGAAAGCATTTCATTATTTCATGTATCCCATTTTGAAAAAGATATTTTTCAGACTAAGAACAATGAGTTCATGAACCCAGTAAGTGTCTCCTAAGAATTTCAAGTTTAGAGGTTATAGTGAATAACTTTTAAGGAAAAAAATTACAATATCATAGAAAAGGGTCCGGATCATCATCTATTGTTTGATTAAGGAAATGACCCAATAGACTTCAGACATAATCTCTAATTTCATCTCATACAATTCATTTAAGTTGACATTACAGCCTTAGAATGAAGGGTTATTAAAGTACAGAGAGTGACATGAAAAGATGTGTGTTAAAGAATGAGAGAGATAATTCTTTTTCTTACATAAATGAATACAAGGAAATATTTTCTTTCATTAAGATCAACCACAAATTTTATAATGCAGTCTAGCAGAAGTAAGAAGTAGCTAAGGAGAAGTCATAGATAATCTCAAAATGGCCTTCTAAACAAAAATAAAATAAAAAGGCCTCCTATTCGTTGTTGATGGATGTCCTCAACTCAAAATCAACTCATAGCTGACCCTCCAACAGGTTTAAATAACAATTGTTAATAGAAATGCCGTCATTGAATGGTCTAAAGGAACAGAACTTCCCCCCCACCTCCTCATTATTCTGGAAGCTAAAAGTCCAAATAAGGTCTCTAATGTGCCAATTCCTTCTTTGAAGCATCTCTGAAGTTTCCTTGGTTCCTTGGTGATACTTAATATGGCAACTAACTTACCCTAAAGTGTGTGAACACCTCTGTGTCCAATCTGTTCTTTGCATAGTTCAGAAATGGTTGAATTTAGACCCACAGAATTTAGCTATTATCTAATTAACATAGCAAATTCTGTTCTCAAGCATAGTAACATTCATAGGAATGATATTGCTGTGTGCTGTCAAGTTGGAACTGACTCATAGCTGGCCTTCCAACAAGTCAGAGGCTGTAAATCACATGGGAGAAGATTGCCCATCTTTCTCCTGAAGAGCAGCTGGTGAATTCTAACAGCATGCCTTACTAGCAGTTAGAATTTCAACACATATTATGTAGAAGACACAGTTTCATCGTTAACACTGAGATAACCTACTTCATGTCCCATTTGGTCCAAGCTATCCCCAGATTGGCTCACCAAGTAAGTAGCATGTTTGCCTTTGGAACTAATTACCATTATTCGGATTCAAACAAGCACCTTTTGGTCAGTGGACAATCACAAACCCAGAGATACATATATATAAAGCCAGATACCTGCTGCTGTCATCCAGTTGACTCCAACAACTCCATAAGACAGTGTAGAACTGCCTCCAAGCTTCCAAGACCATAAATCTTTACGGAAACAGACTGTCACATCTTTCTTCTGCACAGCAGCTGCCATAGCCAAACCACAAACCAATGGGTCAGCAGTCAAACACATAGCCATGTGTCACTAGCCTCCTTCCCCTGCCTCTCATAAACACACACACACACACACACACACACACACGCAAGTCCTCCTCACCAGTGGATCAATAGACAACATCAGGATAGGTAGACAGAAGATTGAAATTATCAACAAAGTACTGAAGAACAAGGATATCACTTTAAAGCTGAAAATGAGCCTGATCCAAATCATAATCTTTTCAACCACTTGCCATGCATTCAAAGTTGGGCAATGAATAAGGATGACAGAAGAATTGATGCCTTTGAGTTATGGTGTTGGAAAATCATTACTGACTATGCCCTTGGATTTCCAAAAGGATAAACAAGTCTGTTTCAGACAAAGTGCAACCTGGAGGCTCCTTAGAGGCAAGGATGATGACACTTAGTCTCAAATCCTTGGGGCATGTTGTCAGGAAGGACCAATCGTTGGGAAAATATATCAAGCTGGATGTGGAGTTTATCTTTCAATATGACTTTCCTAAGCATCTGAATCTGACCTGATCATGTGAATGGGCAGGACTATGTCAATAGGGAGTGTTAGGTGTTAGCTTATCAGTCTCAACAGTCTACAAGAGTATTGCCTAGTCTCACCAATAAATTGAACTTCTTCGCCCTGGGAAAAATAAAAAAAGAAGAGAATGCATCACCCTTGGAGACTAGATGTTCTTACACCAACTACACTTATGTTAACCGCAGCTATGGCTGAATTAGAGACCAGACATGAAACTGGACCTTGGGACTGCTATATCATTGGAACCAGAGCTAACAACCTTTGCCCAAGTTTGTTGAACAACTGGGGTTGGGGTGGTCAATATTGGCAGGATTGAAAACTTTGTAACACTGACCTAAAACCATAGGGCTCAAGGCTGAGGTGCCTGTGAGCACATTTCAGGAGCAGTCCTGACTATATCCTGCTACTAATCTGGATTATGACTTATTGAATTCCCCAACACGGTTCTGTGTGGTCTGTGAGTTATCGCATTGGATTTTGGACCCAGCAAAGTGATAATATCGGTGTTGAGATGAGTAGAAAGAGGTATGGGAGCATGTAGGGTCTGTCTGACCTAATGGGACTTGGTTTTGTGTTATTGATTCTGTTGATAGAGACAGTTCCCCTTTGGGAAGTTGGTAAAGGTCAGACATGGCTGTCCCCACATGGCCTTACTCTTTACTCACGGAACAGTGGAGGGTCGGAGGAGGAGAGAATGTCCTTCAATAGGATGGATTGGCACAGTGACTGTACCAATGGGACTGAGCAAATCAGACATCATGAGGATGGTGTAGGATAAGACAAGTTTCAATATGTTGTTTGTAGGGTTCAAATTATATGTGTGTGAGGGGTGTATTTATATAGGTGTGGGGCTTTTTTTACTGTATAACACTGAAGATTAATGAAAAAGCACTGTTTCCTTTTCTGCTATCTTTTCATAATCTTTTGCAGCTGGGGAGAAATTTAAGAGAGTGACAGTACTGATAAAAGAATAGCTACAAAATGTTAGGCGGCACTCAAATAGACTCACCCTGGAGCCAGATAACCATGTTGTCATAAATGTGGGGGGAAATAAGAAATGACTGAATTTTTGAAACACTTCCTAGACCTACTAGATATTACTGAGGATTGGAAAGGAGCTTACACACACGCCATGGTTCTTGTTCTTAAAAGGTCGAGAAACAGAAGGTTAGTAGAAATTGCAACTGTGTTGGAAGAAATGTTAATGTGTCCGTGCAAGGTGGGAAAATAGCTGTAAAACACATCATTAAGATGAAGCTGTAGAAATACATCTTAGCTAACACAACAGTATTCTATCAGAGAGTTTCTTGAAAAATATAGTCCCAGAGTAATTTTTTAAAATTAAATAATACCCTAAAAAAGGGAGGAAAATATGCAACAATGAATGAATAAAAAAAGATTTTTGGTGGGAGGGAAATCACGGAGTTGCACAATTTGGTGGGTGGAGTGGCGGGGTCTTTAAAGGAAATGGGAAAGATCCAGCAAGGATCTGAAAAGACTGGGTAATGATAGATGCAGTTCAATGGTGATTGATTTTATAAAACATAATAAATGAGAATGATTCTATGAAACTCAATATGAATGAAGGATAGTGTGAAACACAACATACAAGAACTTTGTATGCAAACCAATGTAAAATGTAAAGAATCGTTGTTTATATTTTAAAAAATAATAAAAGGGATAGGGTTATAAAAGAAATAGGGTACAAACTGACACATGAAGAATTTTAATAATCATTTAAAGAGAGAGAGAGAGAGAGCACTCTGGTGGCCTTGGAAGCACGAGTGGCATCCGCTTCCTATATAACATGCCTCTGGAAACTCTGTGAACTTTGATAAATGTCAATAGTTGTAGAGGGGCTTCAAGACTTCTGTTCATAGGGTCACTATGAGTTGTGCTCGACTCAAAGGCAATCAACAACAACAACTGGTGGCCTTAGTGACAACAACCTGTGTTGCAATCCTGAAAGCACATGGTTTGAGGCCACCAGTTGCTCTGTGGGAGAAGGGTGGGCAATCTCCTCCCCTGCAATTAACTGCCTTTGAAAACCTGCTAGAGGGTCAGCTATAGGTTCATTCTGACTCTATGGTACACAACAACAACATATGTATATATAGAAAGACTGAAAGGAAGTATCTTAATATTTCAGCAGTGTTTTCCTCTGGAAATCAAAACAACTAGTGGTGTTGTGTTTTAAGTGTTGTGTTGCTAACTGAAAGGTCACTTGTTCAAATTCACCAGTTACTTAGTGGGAGAAAGATGACCAGTCTCCTTCCATAATGATTTCCAGCCTTGGAAAACTTGACGAAAAGTCACCATGACAGAGAAGGCACTCAACAGCTCTGAGGATTTTATGTGGTGACATTCACTCTTTTCTTTATATTTTCTGAATTCTTTTAAGATGTTCTAGTGGCAAAGCTCATAGAGAATTGCTCTGTTAACCCAAAAGTGGAGCCTTTGTCTGGTGGTTCAAATCCACAAGTCACTCCGCAGGAGAAAGATGGGCAATCACTCTCTTCCCCTGTGATTTCATTTCCAAACATCCACTGCAGGGAGGGTCAGCTATAATTTGGTTCTGACTCATTGGCTATGAGTTTTGAGAAATTTCTAGTAATGCATTACGTGTTTTGTATAGTTGCTAGCCAAAATGTCAGTGGTTCCAATCCACCAGGCAACGCAAGGGAAAAAGCTAGGCAGTTAATTCCCATTAAGATTTATAGACTTCAGACTCCAGAAGACAGAATAGATGTTTGGGTTTTGATCAGTTTCTGATCACGGAAGAAAGGCATACCTACTGGCCTGGTCTTTCTGTGTCTGGGCCCTCACACTCCCTGCTGAGCAGATGACTCCCTGAGGGCCAGGCACTGGGTCTCATTTGCACATGCAGTCAATGACCGTCCCCCTTCAAGGGAAGAAGGTTACAGGGCTACGCTTCCCTCCAGGAGACAAGGAAGAGATTTCCTACTGATTTATATGAGGTTACGCTCTCAAAGCAAGACACGAGGCAGCTGGTGGGGAGAAAGTTCTGT